TTGTGCGAGCCCCGGGGTTGCCCGGTGGGTGCTTGCCCTGGCCGCTTTCCAGGCGTCCGCACCGAACCAAGCGGGACAGTTCCCTTCCCTTTTCACCGAGTCATACAGGCTGGAAAAGACCTCTTAAGGTCATGGAGTCCCACCTGTGACCGAGCACCACCGTGGTACCGAATGCCACGTCTCAGTCGCTCCTTGAACACTTCCAGCGACACTGGCTTCGCCACCACCTCGCCGCTCCCTTCCAATGGCTAACCACCCTTTTTTTTTTTTGTGACTAAATTCTTCCTAATATCCACCCTAAACCTCCCCTCCCTCGGTTTAAGACTACCTCCTCTCGTTTCAAGCACAGTATGAAAAGATATTTTTCTTTAGTTCTTTTCAGCCTCTCGGTCCCTTTCAGAATAAAAGAGTTCAACTTCCACGTTCAAAGGAGATGCTCTGTCTCTCCAGCTGGTGGTTCCGCAAACATACTTGGAGATCTCGCAGCCCGGAGAGGGTGTGGAGTCTCCCTCCCTGGAAATACTCCAGAACCATCTGGACGCAATCCTGTGCCATGTGCTCTGGGATGACCCTGCTGGAGCGGGGAGGTTGGACCAGATGAGCCACTGTGGTCCCTCCCAACCTGACCCATCCTCTGATTCCGTGAAGAGAAGCTTTATTTATTCCTGCATCTCAGGCTGCTTTATTGTTACGGAGTTTGCCCTCAGTGGTTTATGATTGTTCCCACTTGTATTTGATGGGGATACTGATATTCCGGGTCCTGCAGCTGGAACCCAGGGCCCAGTCTTATGAGCTTTACTGGGACCTGTGATCACTGTACAGCAGAAATTCTGATCGGGGTCACTGCTCACGGGATCCAAACCCGAAACCAAATCAGTGGCTCTAGCCAAGTCTGGAGCCTTTAACACTATAATTAGGCCCGTATACAGGGACTGCTGCTCCCACGTAAATGGGCTCCTTTGCAAACAACTTTATGTGTAAGAAAACCGTGGGCCTGCCTGCCACCCACTGCAGGGCTGGAGCCTTGGCAACCTTGTGGATAAAGCACAGTGAGAACAGAATCCACTTCAGTGTCTGTCAGCTCAGCTGGCTCTGTGGGGCAGGTATTACTCCAAACACGCTCAGGGGAAGCAATTTTCTGCTGAGGAAGAAGTTGCCATATTTACTTGGCTCTTTCCCTGAGGTTGTTGTCTAGAAATTGCTCAGTCATGAGAGCGACTTGGCCACCTCCTTTAAAAATACAAAGTAAAAAAACCCCAAACCGATAGACCTTTAGGGAGGTAGGAGAAGGAACTCTTCCCACCTGTCCCGGGCATCGCCTGCCTCCTCTGGGGCAGCAGGAGTGCCGGGCAGGAAGGGGAATGCTTTACATCCCAGGAAAAGCTGTGAGTTCAGTGAGGCAGAACAGCCTGGTCCGAGGCAGAGCAGCTCCCTGCAGCCGCGATAGAGGCTGTGATGAATTCAGTGCTTGTGACAGACTGACAGCCCTGCAGACTGAGATGTGTAGCCACAGGAAGGATGCAGGCAGTGAAGCCAGAGCAGCAGCTCGCCCTTCCTCGCTCACATCCACCCCACACGTGTCCAGGACTCGCACAGCAGCTGCTGCTGGCGGCAGGTGAGCCACTGGCTTCTCTCTGCTGCTTCTCAGTGAGCTGCTCTGAGCCTGCAGTAGAACCAGAGGCATTAAATTCAGACTTTCTCTAGTGAAAAAATCCTTTTTTTTTTTTTTTTTTTTTGGTAGAGGAGCAATTTGGCATTTTTGGTAGTTGTTTGCTCCGAGGTTGTACTTCCACGTTCATTTCTGCAACTGGCAGGCAGGAAACATCTCAAATAATCCAAGGATCACATGGCTCTGCAGGAGCTGAAGTTGGAAGGGAAAAGGAAACAGTTGCAAGACCCAGGTTGCAGGGCAGACTAGGAACCTACTGGTGCTGAAACACACCTTGCAGAGAGTCCACAGGCTTACTGGATGTCAGACATTCGGTCTGCCCTGACTAGGGGTGAAAATTAAAGTAGCTCCAAAACACAGGCTTAGGTCCTACTCTGAGGCCCCATTACGCTCCAGAATGGGACCCACGTGGCTTAACTGGTAGGTCAGGCTTTTCTCAAACAGGGCTGATAGCTGAGTTCTATAACTGTAACCCTTCCAAATATAAAAATTCCATGTCCTTCAGTGGGAAGTACATGATATTGCCTTCCATTGACTTAACAATCTCAACCATGTTTATTTAACACACTCTAATGGAACCTGTCATATGTGCAATATACTGGATAATAAGATGCTTTCAAAGTTTATTGCTCAAGAAATTAAGCTTGCATCCCTTACCCTGTGGTTTATGGGATAAGAGAATATGGACTCCATACAATAAATGTAGTACCCAGTCCTGCACTCTTAGCACTCCCATAAGTTAATGTATATTTAAAGCTGTGAGGCTCTTTTCCAGTGTTTTTTTCAACAAAACATACAAATTGATTTAGGCTCCAAAGGGATCTGAGGAAGCCTGAAATTTAATAAGTAAAGTTGACACTAGGGTCCCTCCTGTCACTCGCCTTTTGCCTCCAGCAGCAGTGGGTTATCAGCCCCAATTACATCCCTTCTTCTCCTGTGTTTGCTTTTGTTAGGCACTGGGATTATCAGAACGCCCGTATTTTGTCCTTTATGTTTTATGTCATAAAATTTAATAGACTCCACTGATGCTGCAACTTGGCGTGAAGTCATTTGGCACGTTTGATTCAAGGGCTAATAAAAACAAGCCTTCCTATTATTGTGCCTGGTAAATACTGAGATTGATAAAACCCCTTAAGGAGCTAGGTTTATAGCCCAATGAAATCCAAACTGATTCATATTCCCAAAGGCTGGAAATTTGAAAGATTTGTAAAGCCTGGCCTACACTCAGGTGTTTGTACAGCAGAGAGCCTGCCTATATCTTTAACAGGAATTGTATTTACTACAGCTTCCATGTGAAGACTGGAATTCCATATTTCTTTATCAATCCTACTCGAGTAGTTTAAAAGGCCCGCTTATATTTCATCCAGTTTATCATTCCTCCTGTATTTTAAAGGATTGCTGGAATTAACACGAGTCCTGGGAAGTTTTTTTAATTCCATTCCAACTTCAGTCCTTGTCAGCGTAGAGTCAGCGGCACTGGAGAACCAGCAGAGGGAGCACGGAACGCTTCCTTCATCTCCCTCTTACGTAAACACTGGCTTCTGTCTGAGGGGTTCCTTAATTTCACTTCTCTGCAAGAATTTGTTGCAAGAAAAGGTGATCTGCGGCTCAGATATTACATCTGTGGAAGTCTGGGGGGTGCTGCGTTTCCATGCCGATTACTTGCCTGCTTCCACCACTCTATTCCCCCTCCTGCTCTCCCCCCTCTGCAAACTGTGCAGTTTTCATGGAGTATTTCCAAGCTGGGACATCCATCATTCATTCCTGCAGAGATTACGATACGTCATTAGGTTGTCAGGCAAACTGGAAGGTTTGCTCCTTGGGAGCAAAGAGGTTCCCTGTGCAGCTCCAGGGCTGTAAAGTGTTAATTCCAAAGATTATTATTTTGAAAAAAAAAAAAAAAAAAAAAAAGAGGAAAAAAGTAGAAGTCAGGAAGAAGCACGGTTTGTTCCTCACACATGCTTTACACTTTGCTTTGTGAAACATCTTAAACCAGAGTTTGCTAAAGAGAGTTAAAGGAAAGCAAGCAAATTTGAACCCAGATCAAAAATGTGAATTTAAATTATTATCAGCCACACAGTCATACAGTTTGAAGCTCAATGCACCCGGTATTATGTATTATCATTAAATTTTTAATTAGTAGACAACCCCATTTTGTGTATTAAACTTTTTATTCCTTAGTAAGAATTTTTTTTAATCACAAAATAGTGTGGAAATATTTAGATAATAGAATTCATGGAGTGCTGGAAAATACTGAATATAAAGATTGATTTCTAATATATCACATACTAAACTGTTCTAAAACAGCTGGTTTCTTGCAGACAGGATTTATTTTTTTTTTAATAATTTAAGACAGCATAAGCTTGTATCAAGCATAAGCATTGTAACAAAAGTGCAACTTTTTCAGCAAATCCTCCCAAAAGATATTTAACTCAAAATATCATTAACACATATTTTTTGTTTTTCTCCCTACAAAAATAGCATGTCAGACATCATTAATTGGATGTATTAACAACTATTTACATACAGCCACTCTGTAGGCTAGTAAGATTTTTTTTTGTTTGTTTTTAACGTTGTTTAAACACAGCGTTTGAGGCAAAACAGTAGCAACAGCAGCAGCAGATGCACCAAACGGACTGACGGACCCCGGACACGCACACACTCCTCGCCAGGCTGTGGTGTCTCACCTCTTACATAACATTCAAGTGAGATTTCTCACAGTGCTACCTTGGCAACAAACTAAAAATATCTAGGCAAGGTCTTGGTTTAAGCCTTATTATAAAAAGCTTTATCTGTGTGATTATCTGGCGTCTGGTTTGTCTCCAGAAAGGGAAATCGCAGTATTTTGAGCATGGGATGAGGGGAGAACCCATATGGGAAACTTACCCCAGCTGGTTTAATCGTTCCTGATTGCACAGCGAGGTGTTTACCTACGGCCTCCAGTTTGTGTCACTGGGAATTTAGGATAGAATGAGTTCAGGCTGATGAGTTGCTCTGTGTTTTCTTGGGGGAGGGAAGGGGGGATTCTTTTTGTAGTTCAGTGCAGTAACATTCATTTCATACAGCAAGGTTCGGCGGGGGGAATCTCTCGGAAACATACTGAATTAAATAAAGACGGGGTGAGAACAAATGCACTTGCCACACCTGTATACCTTAGCCAAAAAAAAAAAAAAAAAAAAAAAGAAATAAACACAAGGTTATGTAATGGGTCTGACCCTCCTTCCCTTGCACACCCAAAACTCGCTGGAGCCAGCGGCATCCCCGGGTGCTCAAGGCACTGCAGGTTTGGGCTCAGGGTGCATCCCTCCACGCTCCGGTCCTCGATAAAGTGCTAGCACAGGTGCTGGGGTCTGCCCTTCCTCCCTCGCCTCGCCCCCTGCCCTCACCCTGAACCCACCCAGGTCTCCCGGACAACAAGTGCAAGTTCCCAAGTGGGACATACGGACACACTGTATAAACCCATTCCAAATAAGGTGCCACATTTAAGTTACTCTATATAGAGAAAAAAAAAAAAAGTATCCTTACTATGTCCTCTTCCTTCTTCTTTTTTTTTTTTTTTTTCCTTATTTACGCATTTATAAAGCCAGACATTAAAAAAATACTGAGTAGCAAATCTTATCCTCGACGGTCCTCTTGCGGGGGCCGGGCCCCGGCATCCCGGCGACCCCTGCCCTCCGCGGCAAACCGGGGGGTGCGGGTGCCGGCCCGGCGGTCCCTCGGTCCGAGGGGAGGGCGGCGGCGGCGGGGGAGCCCCGGGGGCGGCTCACGGGCCCTCGGCGCCGGGCTCCTCGGCGGCCGCGGGCTCGGGCTCCTCGCCGGGCTCGGCGGCGGCGGCAGCGAAGGGGTGCGGGAGGTGGGGCGCCGGGGGCAGCCCGGCGGCGGCGGCCGCCGCCTTCTCGGCGGGGCCGAGCACCGAGGACAAGCAGGGGAAGGAGGCGGCGGCGGCGGCCGCGGCGGCGGCCGCCTGGGCAGGGATGCCCGGGTAGAGCAGCGGGATGGGGGCGGCGGGGTAAAGATACTTCTCCAGGCTGCCTTTATCCAGGAAGGGCTGCATGTAGGCGGCGGCGGCGGAGGGCGAGATGAAGTAGAAGGGCAGGCAGAAAGGGGCGGCCGCCGGCTGTCCGAAGGGGGCCCCGCCGCCGCCCGCGCCCAGGGCCATCAGCGAGCCCAGCAGGGCGGCGTCGGGTCTCACCAGCGCGGCCGCCGCCGCCGCCGCCGCCTCTGCGCCCCTCGCCGCCAGCCCCGGCGGGCCGGGCAGGGGGCTCGGGCCGCGGTCCAGCTTCCGCCGCTTGGGCGCGGGGGGCAGCTCGTCCCCCGACGGCTCCTGCTTGATGGCCAGGGCGGGCAGGGCCCCGCCGGCCGCCGCTGCCGCCGCGGGGCCGCGCTCGGGGCGCGCCTCGCCCTCTCCGCCGTAGCCGCTGTCCGTGTCCGTGTCGGTCTCGGCGCTGAGCTCGGCGGCGTGAGTCCGCTGGATGACGGGCACGCAGTTAGCCTGGCCCTCCGGCTTGTGGCCCGGAGCGCAGGGGGGGGCGGGCGGGGAGGAAGAGGAGGAGGATCCCTTGCTGAGGGGGCCCGGCGGCGGGGAGAGGAGCTGGGGGCCGGGGAGGAACTGCGAGGAGATGGAGTGCAGGTGGCCGAGGAGCTGGGCGCATCGCTGCTCGCGGGGGGTCCAGCTCTCGAAGCGGGAGAGGTACTGCAGCACTTCCTTGGCGCACGTCTGAAAGCCCGAGTGGAAGGCGTCCAGGTCGGCCTGCACCGGAGACTTCATGGACCGCTCTCCTGCGGGGGGGACCGAGCGGGGAGAGCGTTTGCCCGCGGCTCCGGCTTGGGGGTGCCCATGCCCCCCGCCCCCCGCCCGCCCCCGGTGCGCCCCCCGGGCCCCGCTTACCATTCTGCAAAGCAATGATCTTCTGGTGCTGCTGCTCCGTTAAGGCTGTGAGCGCTTTCAAGTGTTTCAAAGTCAGTTCCAGCACCACCGCTTTCTCCAGGTGTCCCAACGTCTGCAAAGGCGAGGGAAGGGGGGCAGTTTGGCTACCTCCCGGCACGCTTTGGCTACCGCCGAACCCCTCGGGGAAGCCGGTGCCCGAGGGGCATTAGGGCCGGGACGGCGGGCAGGCAGCCCGGAGTCCCGGGGGCTGCGCAGCGGGCAGGCTGCCGGAGACTGCATCTGCATGTACATATACGCTCCCCTGCACCTTACCGTCAGTTTGAGATGCTCGGGCAGCAAATCCTTCAGCTGGGCAATGCATTCGTTAATCCTGTCTCGCCTCTTCTTTTCTATCAGTCTGTGTGGCAGTTTGTACGTTTCCTAATTAGCAAGACCCGGAAAAGCCGAGCGTTAGGCTGAGTCCCCTCGGAACGCCGATCAAAACCAAAACAAATGTCATGCGGACCACATGCCGCTCAAATCATCGCCAAGGCACCGCTTTCCCCGCCGTGCCAGCTCGCTCGTAAACCCGCTTGCAATTCGGGGGGCAAGCTGAACGCGCAGCCTCCCCCGTGGATGCTCTTGGGAGCGAAGCGAACCCCCAATTAAGCGCTTAAGCGAGAACATCCCCAGAAAACTTACTCTTACCTTGCTATCGTCCCTCTTCACGCCTCTTTTGGGTTTGCACATATACAGGGCAGGGTAGTCCAGCCTGGAGAAAAACACAGAGATCCGGCATCGGCAAGTGCAGCGGGAGCTTGCCTGGCACCTCCTCGATGGGCACACGGGCGCCGAGCGCTCTGCCCGAAGGGCCGGGCGAGGGATCGCCCGGGTCCGCCCGCCGAGGGAGGCGGCGAGCCCCGCGCCCCGCCGGGGAGCCGGCGCCGCTCCCGGCGCTCCGCAGCACTTTCCCAAGAAGACGAAAACGCCGAAAAGACACGAGACGGAGATACTGCCCCGCCGCCTTACCCTATAAAATCCCTATGCTCCAGTAGCTGCCTCTCCGGCAAGCGGGAGATTCCTTCATCCATGTCTGGCAGCGGCTGATGTTTGACTGAGCCTGCGGGATGCTGAGATCAGTCTCGGGAGATCCGCGAGCGACGCTGTGCACATGCAGCCTCCGTCCCCCCTCTCCCGTGCAAGTGGCCAAAAGTGTGCGGCGGCTCGTCCTTCCCCCCCCCCCCCCCCCCCCCCCCCCCCCCCCCCCCCCCCCCCCCCCCCCCCCCCCCCCCCCCCCCCCCCCCCCCCCCCCCCCCCCCCCCCCCCCCCCCCCCCCCCCCCCCCCCCCCCCCCCCCCCCCCCCCCCCCCCCAAGTGCCGCCGCCGCCGCCGCCCCCCCCGCCTCTCCCGCCCGCGCTCCCGCTCCCCGCGCACACGCCCGCAGCTCCCGCCGCCGCCGCCGCGCCTGCCCGCGGGGCACGCGCGCCGCCAGCCAGCCCCGCACCCGGCTCACGTGCGGCGCGGGCGGGGGCGGGACCGGGGAGGGGACGGCGGAGGGAGGGGGGAGAACCGGGGAGGGACGGGAGCGGGGGGGGGGGTCCCGGGGCCGCCCTGCGAGACAGCGGCTTCCCCCCTCCGTGTGTCGCTGCCGCTGTCACAGTCAGCGTTGCCGCCCGCGGTTGCCGTCGCTCTCGCCGTGGTTTTTATTAATTTTTTTTTATTATTTTAAATTATTTTTTCTAGTGTTGTTTTTAAAAATAATTTTACTTTTGTATTTTTTTATCATTATTTATTTATTTATTTATTTATTTATGGCTGGGGAGGATACTCACCCGTGGAAAACATGCCCGGAGGGGGTGTGTGGCGGGGGGGTGGAAGAAGGGGAAATAAACGAGCCCCTCTCTTGCAGAGGGGGCGATTAGGGTGTCGCGTTCGCCATATGTTGTATATAGATTTAAGGATGCGTGGGCGCGGACACGCGTGGCTTTTTGCTCGGGGCGCAGCTCTCGCCCCGCGGTGATCCCGGCGTCTCCCTCGCCTGACCTTTGGACGGGAGCCGGGTCCGCCTGCAACGCCAGACCGCGGCAGAAGCGCTTCTTATATCCACGGGGACTCATGTATAGAGAGTCCTATATATCTGCAATACAAACATATCTGCCGCTGACGCTGCCCTCGGGCAGCCCGCACCCGTGCAGAGGGTGACACTGCCAGAAGGATTTGTCCCCGGTGCAGCGTGACCGGCCCGCGGCAGCCCCGGGACGGGGCGGGGCGGGAGAACCCCCCCCCACCCCACCGCGGTTCCCCCCGCCCTCCCCCATCCCTGCTCGCCGGGCGCGCCCGCGCAGCCCCCGCTCCCCGCCGGCGGCACCGACAGCCGCCTCCCTAATCCCGTCTCACACTGGTACGAGCACAGGGCCGGCAACGTGACGCGACCTGCTGCCACATCACTGCCGCCGGCGGCACCGGGCGGCCCTGCCCCGCCGCCGCCCCCCCGCCGCTGCGGGCG